ATTGTTGGAATGAAATATAGCAAGACTTGCATTGCCTACTAAGAAAGTTAGTAGCCGGTAGTCATCGGGTTAAAAACAAACACAAATCTATAAAAAAATTCCACACTTTGGGTACTCAAGATTCAGACAATTAGAAAAATAAGTGTGGTATGTGCAACAACCATTTTTTTATAATAGAATGCAAACTTAAATAAAAGTACTCTCCTCACAACAAGAACACAACTTTCACTAGGACTGTGCATGATGGTTTGATTATATATCTTCCTTGAAGTAATTTTTAAATGTAGTACTAAGAAACTGGAGTTCTTAAAAAAACTATTATTTTTTCAATAAACCGAAATAATTAATATATAAAACATTACAGTTTAATACTATGCTTAGTAATTACCAGCACAAACAGCTACCTGTAGGGCAGTGTTTGTGCTAGTTTCAATAATTATTGAAAACTTCTTTTTCATCTATTTAATTATGCTAGGGATCATATTCTGAACCAGCTTTAGTCCTATGTAAATGTAATGTAAAATTTTGTGAATATACATGACAATATTGTCATAAATTTTCATGAATATACTAATCGTACATTTTGATCAATACAGAAGTTTTTATTATACAAATATTACCTCCAGCAATTCTCCTTTCACAACTGTCAATTCTTTGTCATTATTAGCAGTTCTCGGATACAATACTACAACACATTTGTTCCCACGTGCTCTTATGTCTTCAAACCAAGGCCTCTGTTGACGTTCAAACTGTCTGAGGGCATCTGTAGGTATCATTCCATGCTCAGCAGAACTGGTACTGATGTCAGATCTCGTTTCTCTATCATGAAAGTCCTGATCAGAAGGAGTGTTAGCACCAGATCTGTTTCAATGATAAACTTGAGCTTTATCACTCTGAAAGCCTAGTACTTTACTGTGCATAAAACACAATTTATTAAAAAAGGCAAAGGCTATTCTACCTGAGGTCATAAGCTCTTTTCACAGAGCATCTGAAAATAGTAATAAGTTTTAATATGAAACACTTCAAAATCTTTAATAAAGAACAGTTTAAGTTACAAGATATTCAATAAAAGTCTCTATATGTGATTTTCATAATAGTACAATGAGATCTGTGATAGAAAACTAATTTCTTAAGTCAAAGTGTATATATTATATCTCATAACAGAGATACATATATTTCTAGATTGGTTACTGATCTCATCTCTTTGAAGCAAATTTCAAGTTTATGCAAATTGCAACTTCCTACTCAGATCAGTGCCCTGAAGTTGAAGGTCTACATAAGAAATACTAGGACTCAATTCTCAAGCAGACAAGTCCCAATACTGAACATTGTACCCTGTATACATCAGAAAACGACAGTTGTGAAACAATACTTGAACAAAGGCTGTGTTTGTTTGTGTTGTTACAAAGTAGCAATTATGCAACTGTGGTAAATGTATAAAACTTCAATTTCAGTTTTTGCTAATCAAAATACTGTGTTATCATACTAAAATTATCTTTACTTTCCATGATAACTTATAATTAAGATTCAACACAAAAAATGACTTACTAAACTAGTGGAAGCAAAATGAACTAGGCAGATCACTGGAAAATGCTTATATTTTTTTACCCTATATTTTCAATAGCTCTCAATCTTTTAAATATAAATTTAGCTTACAAGTGGAAAGCTATTCTCTAATTTTTCAAAGTTAACTTATAAAAATAGTATATAATATGCAAAACATCTATAACCTAAAAATTGACTAATTATTTAATTCTTATTGCATATACACAAACTATACCAGTTACATCCTTACCTATCCATGTAGGGAGCCTTTCTTAGTACATCTGCTGGTGAAGCATCATAGAATTGATTACTGTAGTTAGTTGGACGTTGTTCTGACATTGGTCTTTGATCTCTGTCACTGCTGTAGTAGTCAATATCATAATGTCCATCTCTTTCCAACTGGGAATTAGAATGTCTCAAGTAGTCCTGATTTCGTAGTTCAGCCTAGTTGGAAGAGGAAATAACTATATTGGAGCATTAGAATTAAAAGGAGATAAAATAAGTAGGAAACTTGAAAAATAATCGATATGAAAACACAAAATTCAAAAAGAGCACTAAATAAAACATCCAAACATGAGCACTGCCAAACGAGAAGTGATAGTTAGGTAGAATAGCATAGAGGGAGTTACATGAGTCATGGGGGGGGGGGGCATGTCTAGTTATGTAGGTTTGTCACATGATAATTTGCATGTGAGATTCAGTTAAACCATGTAAACCAAGGAGTACGTGGGAGTGTAAAGCTTGTGGCATGCAAAAAAATTTTTTTACAACAATACTTATGTATGTGAGCAGAAATAAGGTACTTTGTTGGAATAAGCAATTCCCGATTTACAATAAATATTAACTTCTGTATCTAAAATTGATTGTTACTTTTTAATGTAAATACATAAAAACCCATAAAGAAAATCACCTTTTTACATTTAACTTATTTAACAATTAAAAGGCTTCTTCACAGTGACACATCTGTAAGCAACAGGATTTGCAAGAGTATTTTATTGAAGAAAAGCCTAGTAAAAGGGCATCTGTTCAAAACATCATTTTCAAATTAAAGTTTCTATATCATGGCTGTATATATATATATATGGTTTCACTGTTCACTATGGAGTTAAAATATCTTTATAAATTTGGTGAATTATTGAATTTGTAAGTATTTTACAATTTTTAAACCTTACAGGATACATTTCACCATCTAAAAGTAATTCAGAGAACATACCTCTTCTTGAGCTCTTCGAAGATTATCACGTCTATATCGCTGTGCTGCTGAAGCTGCTGCGGCTGCTGTGATTCCAGCTCTTTCCCTGTCTTCAGAGAAAGGATATTCTGGTGCCCAACCATTGGAGAAAACTGGATGGTAACTGCCTTGGTTTCCTCTCCACTGGTCTCTGTAGCATGACAAAGGCAAGTTTACAACAAAGTTAAAGCCTATTTAGATGCAGCAGATACTACATTAAAAACCAGCTCATTCATTTCAAACCTTGAAAAGATAACTTCATAGCTTACTAAAAATAAATGTATTCTTAGAATTAATAAACGATATCTACTTGAGGCATATTTAACAGTACAAATGTACTTTTTGGAAACTTGTTTTTGAAAAGTAATCACAAAATATAATTTATTAATGAGATCTACGATATATTTTAAAGTATTTGTCTTATATTTAACAATGCTTTGGTGAATCAGAAAACTAGAATTTACAACAGAATGAGACAATCTTTGTCTAGGTGTCATTAAAATTAGAAAAACAAAAGTTTTGAGTTCATACTAAAAATGTGTATTTCACAACAAATTCACATTCTCGACTCATTGTAATAATTAACATCTTACAATTAATAGAAATCTATGAGACAGAATGGATGACTAGCTTGACACTTGTTTAATAACAAAGAAGTTTATAACATAATTAACCAAGTTACAGTTTCAAAAGGAAAATGATAAACACTTTGTAGCATGATATCATGTAGAAAATTAAATAATTACATTATATAACAAAATTAATTACAAACCAACCAAATTACTTGTTGGAATGAAATTTATGAGTGTAATTAAAAAAAACCTTGGTTTTGTCTATTCTACAGATGAGCATTCTATATTTCTTGAACAATTTGGGTACCTCATTTGTGTTATTGGGAAGCTCCTAGAAAAACAGAAATTTTATGATTCCTACCCCATGAAATGAAATACTATGTCATTGTGTATTGCAATACTTCTTATATGTTATATATGCTAATGAGTGTTACAAAATGGAAAACTATAGTAGTTTAGTGTCTATTTGTTATATAGATATCTTGGTGGATACAATATTATTACAACAACCCCTTCACAAAAATTTTACCAGGACACAGTAGTCAACAGCAAAAAAAAGAAGTGAATAGAAATTTGACAGCTGTTATATTTTTTCAAAATCAATGCCCAAAAACTCAAAATTAAGCTTTGTAACAAGCATTTTCCGGTTTAGTTGGTCCAAATTATGTTAAAAAGTCACACTACCAACTTTTGCTTAAAATGCTCCTTTATGTTTCTTTTCAGAAAATCTCAAATAGTTTAAATTACAGTTCATACTAAAAGTAAACATGTAAAATTATAAAATAAAAAATATGACAATTCAAAGAAAGCAAGCATATTTCATGTTTCATTAACAATACTCTTACAAGTTACGTTTTAACTCTTCATGCAAACTAGTGCACAGTAAACATCAGGAAAAGAGTAGGACAGGCAGAAAGGGCCTGAGTCTCTCCAACACAATAACTGTAAGGGCTATTGCACACACTTCAGTTACATGTACTAAAACCCAATTAGAACAATTACTACTTCCCCTTTCTTGCCAAGCACTAATAAGTAATGACAACTGTGGGTAGCACAGTTGAAAAAGGGCAAAACTCCTTAGTTTATTGAATTTTGTGGTTGACCCCTCTCCCCCTCAATTATTTGTTTCTTATCACTACAAAAGCATTTTTATATCTACTTTTCTCTTTCTTTTGTAAATTTTCCATGGACATATATCATACCTGGGTATGATCCATGGATCACCAAGGCTATGCCACAGGTCTGTTTCTTTTGAAGAGCAGCAGTTAACCAAAAGGTCTATGGCATCAGCTGTCAACAACGGAGCGACAACTTGTGGTGGTAGATTTGACCCAGTCTGCTGAGCTGCATCCACAACAAGAGTCAATGGAGTAAACAGGAAGTGAATCAGTTCTGGTGCATTAGGGTCATGAATGTGGTTCTTCAGTCTGGCCTGCAAAATTAAGTAAATGAGTCAGCTCTGGTTGTTAGTGTTATCTAAGTAGTTTATCAAATTGGGCTACAATGTTATTATAAATTCTGTTGGATTAACATTGGTTTTGAGCATCAACTTGTTTGATTACAAATCTTGTTATGACTGTTCTAAGAGTTCTACCATTATTCAATACCAATTTTAAAATTATAATACTCTTACTTTATTTAGAGTGCAGTTAAACTAAACATTTTAAACACAATTCTTACGGTTAGCAAACCTTTCTCTATAGTGGTGAAAATGAACCTAGTTTGATTCTTTCCTATATCCTTTGAGAACCATAAAAACAAAAGTTAGAAAATGGAAAGTTATAATTTTCCTATACTGAAAATATATTTCCGATAGGCACTACCTCCTGTCACATACAGTAGTTAACATTTGCTAGGGATCATGTTTTCACATAATAGGTACACTAATGTTAATAAAGGTCAGTTCTAAAAAAACATAGCTAGGAAGTCCATTATCTGCCAAGTGCGAACTTTCTGCCTGGGTGACTTTGATTGGATCCTGGCTTTGTTTTCTCATCATACCCCCAAATTGAAAGTTCATACAGTGAAACTGTGAGGTCTTTAATTTGAGACCACTGATCACTGCATGCTAAAATTGGTCTGACTGAAATTGTGCAGCACAGAAAATGCCTTTTAGATGATAAGGTTAAAGATATCATCTTTACCCTGCAGAACTTAACAGGGCTGTTTGGATGCTGCTGGGAAGCATGACTCAATGTAGGATTGCTGCTGCTCTTGGTACATCTCAAAGTGTAATGTCCAGGGCCTGAAACAGGTTCAGACAGTTTGGCAGAGTCAATAGGAGACATGGTCGAGGAAGGAGAAGACTAACAACTCCATTCCACAACAAGACTGCTACTTGACCACCAAGGCTTGAAAGAATCGCTCTGCTCCAGTTGTTAACCTCCGTAACTCCCTCCAAGATGCCACAGGAGTCCAAATGTCTACACAGACAGTGCACAGATGCCTTCACAAAGCTCAGTTGAGGGCTAGATGTCCTGAGAAATATCTACCTGAGAAAGATACAGCCAAATCATGCCAATAATAACCGAGAAAGGTATTGGGAGTAGTCCATATTGCCTCTACAAATTATATGCAGCCTCTCCTCTGCATAGTCACAGAAGCAGGGCACAACATCAATCCTCTGAGCCCACTGTACAGAGATGGAGTGCCTTTATTAGTGTACATGTGCAGCCTCATTTCCTCGGACAGATCCATACAGTATTGAAGAGCACTTCTAGCTTCCAGTTACTGCCACACGGAAGTGGATTATCCACATAAATGATATGCAACCTCTCCCTCCAGAGAGACACAGAAGTCGGGTGCAACATCAACCCTTGGAGCCCACCAGACAGAGATGGTGCACATAAATAGAGGACCAATGGCATTTACAACAGCAGAAAACCACCACCCTACTCTCAACTGAATGGAGTTGTATGTTTAGTTATTCACATGAGATCACATTCAGGAGAATACCTCCATGTTCCACCACCCCAGCAACTTGGAACTGGAAAGTGACATGGACACTCCTATGCCACTTGAAGGAAGGGGGGGGGGATAAAATCTGGTGGAGAGTACAGAGGAACTACAACACTAGAGACAGTGCAAATGGGTGACCACAAAAAGCTTGTTTTGAAAAGCAGACCCCCCCCCCTGATTTATTCAATCTAAGGGATGGCAGGGATGAGCAACTATCCTTTTCTTCTTTACCCATGGAAAGTCCATGGGTTAGTATAGAGTCCGGAACAGGCATATTTATGAAGCAAATATATCACAAGGGAAAAACCTAAGAGCATGCCTTATTGGCCATGGAAATATAGTATTTATTTAATGATAGCATCATGGCCATACAGTGCAGATTTTGGATGCATTAAGTATGTCTGGACAGGCAACACTCACTACAAAGCAGGATCCTAACAATAAAAAGGAACATGCCCTTGAAAGGAAGTATATATAAAAAGGATAACCTACCCAGTCACAGTTTACCGAAATTTGAAGGATGGCGACAAGCATAAGACAGTATCCTGATGAGGAAAAAAAACAGCCACCCAATGTAAGGAGTGGGTGATTAACATATGAGTAGTAGTTCACATGTCCAGTGGATGTTGGAGGTGAAACACCAGGGAAAAGGTAAGATGCCTAATCTGACATGATGCCACCTGGAACAGATTTCGGGAAGAAGACAAGTAGGAATAAGCCAATCGAAGCAAAAACCAAACCCAATTGGAAAGTGTTTAAGGAGACAGTTCACAAACAGAGGAATGTTGCCAGGGGACAAAAAGATGGGAACAAGACCCACAGAAGGATGCCGTGTGGGAAATGTAACAAGGAAGAGCACATATGGGACATAGAAGCCTATCTGGATCAGACCAGGAATAAAGGTAGGACATGGATGGAAGCAAAATCTTCGACAATGAAGAACTACCTTCATGAGCTGCAAAATTCTTAGGAAGGAAAATTCAATCTGGATAAAAGAGAATACACGTGGAATGGTACAGAATGCTGGAGGCATCGATGGAAAATATAAATATTTCAGATTAACTATGCCCACAGTCTAATAGGAGTAGGAAGTAAGTCTTAAGGGACAAGGGAAACAAAGAGAAGGAGGACATAGGCTCCAACAGGGGTAAAGTAAGAGAGTGAAGAACCATGTTGACATCCCAATCTGGAAGGAACACTCAATGAAGATGTCTAGGAATACGGAAGGAATGTAACAACATGGGAAGGATAGAGTAGGTAAACACAAGATGGTACCAGGAAAAATGGAAGGTGTGTAATAAGGTTGCTTGATATCCAGTGATGGAGAAGATCAAAGGCCCATGATGAAACAGCCAAGTGAGGAAATCTGTAAAATGAGGAACAGTGGGTCGAGAAGGGGAAAAACCCCAATGCAAAGACCAATGGCAGAAGATGTTTCATTTATGCTGATAAACTGTTATTGAGTAAGAACAAATGGAATGAGCCAAAAAGGAAACAACCTGCCAAAACAATCCAGAACACCTCTCTAATGACCTGATAAATGCCAAACATGAGGATAAAGAGAAGGAAAGGGAGGATGAAATACCAGTAACCAAGATTGACATAGAAGGGATGGAATGAGAGGAAGTGGCAATGAAGGGGTAGTACAGAGTTGAAGTAGTCGAGAAAACTAGTGTTGTGCCAGCCAGTAATGAGCAATCTGAAGAATCTGACACGGAGTGGTATAGATGATAAAAATCACCCTGTGAAAAGAAAGATGGGAGAATAAACATAAAGGTATCGCTCAGCCCAATCCTGGTTGTGCAGAGCCCACTGAAGAGATCACATATGTGCCCAATCTAAGGGGATAACAGCTTCTACAGAAGCCCACATCCCCAAAAGTTATAGAACCTGAAGAACAGTAAGAGAGGGAACAGCAAGTGCATGGCAAACTGAAAGCGTCATCGAATGGAAATGAAGAAGAGAAGGTTGGGCCCAATGAAGGTGGGAGTTGAAAAAAAACGTGGGCAAGATATTGGGTAGGATATAGGAAAGACTTCTCCAGCTTCATAATCCAACCCACTCAAGTAGCTTCTATAAGAAAGAGACAAGTGTAACGTGAAGCCTCTATTTCAGAATGAGCTAACAGAAGCCATTGGTCCAAGCATGTATAAGTTGGGCAAAAGCTTTGGCTCCATTACAAAATACATATGGAGCCAAAGCAAGCCCAAAGGGCAAGGCGTGAAACTGGTACACAACCCTGTGTTGGAAAAACCACAAATAGCATCAGTACCAATGAGAAATAGGAACATGTAGATAGGCATTTGAGATGACTACCTTGGCCATCCACAATCCCAGAAAGAAAACCCACAGTAGTGTGAGAAAAGACTCCATTGTAAAATGTAAAAAATCCTGAAAGTGATTCAGGTGGGTCAGATCAATCACAGGACACCAGTCCCTGGTTAGCTTAGGTACCACAAACAGACTGGAGTAAAAGCCTGGGGAATGATGGCTGACAGGCTCAATAATTCTCTGTGATAGAAGAGACTGGACTATCTCTGACAGATGTTGATTAGTAATACAATCCCGAGGTAATGGAAAGGATATGGGTATAGGAGACAATGGGGGTGGGGAAAGGAATTCGATGAGAAGTCCTTCCGACAAGACCCGAAGAACCTTATGATCAGTAACAAATACCCACCATAGGTGAACAAAATCAATCAAACAAGCCCCCACCAGACCAGAACTCACAAGATAGTCACTGGTACTGGTGGTGAAGAAGAGACCTGTGTCAATAAAAATGATGAATGGTGGACCCCCCTAGATAAAGAAACAAGTAAAAGATGGGAGGGTGTCGGACAAGGAACAGAGGATTGCATGGGCTCAGGTTTAGACAAACAAGCAACCAAGTACAAAAGGGTCGAATGTTGCATCACAGATTCCACATGTGATTTCAAAGTTGCAGGAATAATTCCAAAATGAACCATTGGAGAAATGGAGCAATCCCCAATTCTCAAAGGTGAGTTGATGGTAAACAAACCATCCCTCCCAAGAAGGTCACAACAAAAAAGAAACTACATATGGAGAAAGAGATCTGATTGGGACAATAGTACCAAATTAGAGGTAATGAGGGAGGAGGTATCCCCAAAAATCCCTCAGGAAAATGGTGGAGTGCCTCAGAAAGGAAGTGTATGGTGGACAAGTATCATAGGAAAGTTGGAAGGGTAAGACAAAGGTGGGAAAACTGGGCCTGGTATAAACAGATAGGACTGTCAGGGTCATCCCTTCATACTGGCAGTAGTGATTCTAACTGTTGAGAATCAAGAAAGGGTAATCTTCTTGATGATAAGCCAAGGCAAACTGATCCATGTCTCATGGAGGATGAGGCATGCTAGCACTGGCTCGCAACTGAGAAACAAATTGTTCAGCATGAACCCCGACATCAAGAGAAGAAGGGAAAACAAAATACTGAGAGGAAGGGGTGTCATGTAATAAGGAAGGAACTAGATTATAAGAAGCCAGGGATATAGAAAAAAATCCAGAAGATACCTGAGAAGTCATGTCTAAAAAAGGTTGAATTAGGCCTAGCAGACTCCACAGGAGAGGTACAGGGAGGTGCGGCATAATTGGGAAGAGGAATAAAGGCTGTCAAAATCCTCATTGTCATGAACAGGTTCATCTAGTTCAGCAGTTAATCCAGCACTATCTGGAGAAGGTCGACTTAGATAATGTTCAATCTCCCATTGAATAAAGGCTGAAAATTCCTCAGTCAAATTCCTCCAACCTGAAGTCTGAGTAACTATGGTAAGAGCAGGTAGTATAACCTCTAAAGTGGTAACATTAACTTTGCTATTCATCAAAAATGATGAAATATTGAAAGTTATTCAGAAAAAAAGAATAAGTATGGTAAGTTTGCATAGAAAAACTATAAAGTTGAAAACAATGGTAAAATTTAGAGATGATCTTTCCAATTCGTATGATATTAATAAAGAAATAATCCATGAATAGAACACAATCAAAACACATCTTGACTGTAGCACTGCCAAATGAGAAGTGGTTGTTTGGTAGAAGTAAATAGAGTGAGCTACATGTGTCAGGAGGTTGTGTCACACTCGCATTGGTGGAAGGTTGTCGCATGACAATTTGCATGCGATACACAGTGGAACCATGATAATCGTGGGGTAGTGGAATACATGGCATCAGAATTTTTATCCTATCTTCAAACCAATAAATAATATAAAAGACATGATAGGGAATACTAAAATAGAATTAACAGATAAAACAGGTATTTACAAGACAGAATGTGAATGTGGTGGTACTTATATTGGTCAAACTAAAAAAATAATTAAAATACAGATTGCAAGAATGTAAAGATAATATGTGAAATAATAAAATAGAAACCTCAGCTATATCTGAACATTTGAAAACTAACCAACATATGAAATTATGGGAAAAAACTAATTTTGGCTCAACCTCATAGTATTATAGCATTAAATAATAAAGAAACATTAGAAGTAATGAAGTATAGAAAACAAAAAGAAGTATTAAATAGAGACGAAGAACCAGCATGTCAATATGTTGATATATGGCAAGATATTTTATAATAATTATCAAAAAAACAAAAGTAGACCAAGGAAATATGTAAATAATAGTAAAGCAATGCAAAAAGTATAAAGTATGGCTTGTAAGTGTCTTGTAAGTAACTCCTGAAGATGACGTGGATCACGTCAAAACTAGTACTTGTAGAGTGTTGTTTTAAAGTGGAAGCCAAATGGCTTCAATAAAGTTTTAATTGTGTAAATAGTAAAGTTTTTAATTATCTATTATAATTTTAAATAGTATACAAGCACCAGTAATTCATATTATTTTACAGTGTTAATCTACAATATTAATATGAACAAAGTAAACTTTTACTAGAGTTCACTGTATCAACAAAGTACATACCAACAAGTTGAATGAAAACTTGAACTTTTGCAGAACTTCAATAAATTCTCGTTCAGATGGAGGCTTTGCACGTATACTCAATATCCCATCTAGAATATTAAATACCAGTGTAGATAAACTTAACTTTGTAAATGTTACATAAAATTCAGATGAATTATACATGTAGTTCAATAATTAAAACTCATATCATGACTAAAATTTTTAATCAGTTGTAACTGAAACTTCAAAAGAAATGTAATGATAATGTACTGATATCTTGTCTGAATTTATAGTCTACTACACATACACATAAAAGAAAACTTATATAATTTTGACCATATCAACAAGACAGCTTGTAATATAAAACATATTAAGCTTAAATTATGTAAAAAAATTATGAAATTCTTTATCATAATGAAAAAGTATGAAGCCGCAATATTTTTCATTCTTTTATAATGAATGAGAATGTTTAAGTTTTCAGCTTTTCTTTTTTTCTAGTTCTAGCATTCAGCTAGTCATGGGATGACTGTTTGTTTTGAATTTCATGCAAATCTACACAAGGGCTATTTGTGCTAGCCATCCCTAATTTAGCAGTGACAGACTAGAAGGAAGGAAGGCAGTTAGTCAATGCCACCCACCACCAAATCTTGGGCTACTCTTTACCAACACATAGTGGGACTGACCATCACAATGTCTCCATGGCTGAAAGGTCATGCATGTTCAATGTGACAGGGATTTGAACCCATGACCAACAGATTGTGAATCTAGTGTTTTAATCAGCAGACCATGCTAGGCATTTTGTTACATAATTTTGAATGTGACCTTAATACACTACACAATACTCCTACAAAACCATCCACAAAACATGAAAGATAAGGTGACCCGATTTTCAAACCAAAAAACCAGGCCTGCCCAGCCCTTCTCCCTAATTTCAAATTGGTTATTACAAATTTGAAATAACATATATTTTATTTTATTTACTTTAAATTTATTGAACTGTTCCACAATATTTCCAAATATATTAACATTGGCATTGTTTTTGAAATAGTTCAAACTACCTTTTTGGTGATAGACACATAACAAATGAGCAAAACAATCCAATTATACATCCAAGAAATCTTTAATTATTCATTTTATCCAATTCATATTAAAATAGGCTACTTCTTACCTGGATTTATTTAAGAATCCATAACATTTTCACACATACTACTTTTAGGTTTTAGCATTACTTTGAAACTTTTTAGATATATTTTTGTGAAGAATGAATGGAACTTCAAAGTTCTGATTTTTTTCATTAAATAGCCATGAACTTCAGTAAATGGCTGTGTAAAATGTGGTTTGACCACGAGTACTGCCTGAATTGTTTTCACATTCAAATCTGTACAGACCTGAGAGAGTTTAGCAGCAATAGAGTACTCGCTACTACATTGAGCAAGTCAAGTAGACCTATTACATTCATGATTTGATGTGAGTGACAGTTTGATGTCTTTATCATAAAACTGGGACATTTTGTGCATCTTGGGAACTTATTTTCAGGACACTGGGACAAACTACCAAAAAATGGGACTGCCCTGGCAAAACCAGGACACCTGGTCACCCTAATGAAAGATGATTGTTTGTTTGTTATGGATTTTGTGTAAAGCTACACGAGGGCTATCTGCGCTAGCCGTCCCTAATTTAGCAGTGTAAGACTAGAGGAAAGGCAGCTAGTCATCACCACCCCCCACCAACTCTTGGGCTACACTTTTACCAATGAATAGTGGGATTTACCATCACATTATAATGCCCCACAACTGAAAGTGCGAGCATGTTTGGTGTGATGGGGATTCGAACCCATGACCCGCAGATTGCAAGTCAAGCGCCCTAACCACCTGGCCATGCCGGGCCTAATGAAAGATGAAGCTTTATCGAATCAATAGTATAGAGGTGTGTGTGTGTGTGTAAACAAAATATACACTATGGTTTTATCATTTAGAGAAAAGATTAAAAATCAGTATTCATAATTAACACTAATCAAAATAGCTTTAATGAAATACATAATAATACAAAATTACACAGATATACAAAATAAAAATTATAAATGAGTTTAAGAAAACAAGTTTATTAATCCCTTAGAAACCACACATTATACTAATCCTAGAATTACTAATTGGGGTTAACTCACATAGACATCACAGGCATTTTTAACACATTTTTCTATCACTAATTAGGTATAAAATTCTTTGTGGCCCTGTCATTTGGTTGGTTATAGGATCCCTTAACAACATATAAGCCACACAGAAATATTTACAACAAAATACTATCAATGTTACATTTAATCCCATTATATGATATCATTTATTTTTTCCTTTCTTATACTGAAAATGAGTAATTTTATCCAATTGTTTGGTAATTTCTTTACAATATAAAAGGTGGGACAGGCAAAAAACATAAAATAATTCAATATGATACAATATAAGACTCCAATGATAGTGAAAAGTAAATAAAATGGGTTAAAGGTTAAAAGGTTTCATAAACAAGTTCCACTTTGATGAAAATTCGTGTGTTAGGTTGTGATAATCTATGTAACCACAAACATACTTATTGTTAACATGTAGAAAGTTAGCACTAAATCAAATATTAAGTTAGTAAGTAGCTTAATTGAGTTTAGTATTGCCACACACACAAACTCGCTCACAAAGTCTAGTTTAACCCTCTCACTGCATAATTAATTTTCAGGCTGATTCCCAAAAAAGTGTCAATTATCTACCAAAAAATATAAGTTTGAATTTGACCCTTTTTCAATATTGAAAGAAGCTGTATTTTCTATATATGACAGTAATATTCCTTGAAAACCATACTGTATAGTGAAAAATAATGAATTAAACAAAAAATTGAGGCAAATTAGAAGAAAAGTGTTCTCCAGTAAATGGTATAACTATAGGCAAAACTAAGTCAATAAGAGGCCAAACTCATTACAAAATATAAAAGAAATTAGTTAGATAACAATATCCAAGATATAAAAAAGCTGTCTTTATATAGATTCTAAATGTGTTTCTGCAAAGTTGGAAATTTTGTAATGAGGCATATAAACATCCAGGTTTAGAACGCAAATGGCAGTACGCACGCAGGTTTGGTGACCGTCTCAAGTACAGGGGGATATTCCCCCATGTCACCGTAGAGGGAAACTTTTCTTGGTAGCCATGGGGTAAATCCGAATTTCATAGTCAATGGGTATAAATTTTTATTTGGATATATCTGAACTACACAACAAAAGAGTTAAGTGAGGAAATGGTTTCACTTAATTCTATCTGTACAGAATGGGTCAAAATGTGTATGTCACAACTTTATAAAGAAGTACATTCAAATTATATTAAACAACTTTATTATCAATTTATGTAAATAAACATGGCATAAGGAGAAAGTTAATAAACCAAATTTTAATATTATGTAAGTTTTAATTTCTTAATTTCAAAATGAAATATTTAAATAAATATATGTATAACACAATACTTGTTCGCTCCAAATTGCCCACTTAAACATTCTTTTCACATTTACGTGAGATTTAAGTTTTAATACAAGTTACAAACTTATAATACAAATAATGCTGAGATATAATCTTATAGCCTCCAATTATCTTGATTTACAAAGTCATAAACTGGAAAATCACACCCATATTCCACACCCTTCTGTCACCTAGTGTCTTTTACAAAATGTTAATATCTTTCTCTAACATTTGGTACTGCATTATGTATAACAAGTAGAAAAAGAATATTTTAATTTATTTAATTATGTATAATGCTAGCTCATTCTGACGTCAGCTCTTGAGTTATTCAGTCTACACGCTCAAACTTGCTATTGCAACCATGGTAAAAGAATTATTTTAATGAATTTATAGCTTGGTTTGAAAGCCAGTTAAATTATAATAGTTATAGGACATTGTATTTTTGTGCATATTATTATTTTGTGTTCTGAACTGAAAATGTGAAAGAAATAAAAACCCATTAAAGTACTAATAACAACCATACCAAACATTACAGTTAACTTTTATTGAGACTTTGAGTGTTAAAACAAAGTACAAGATCCACACATAATTACTGAATTTATTGTTTCTTTATGTATATTTTTACTTGTTAAAAAGTAATAGATACATCAAAATTATAAACTTTTAGGTTAGATAAGAAAATACAAGTTAAAAGAAAACTAAATAAAAAACTTCTGAGAGAGATATGTACACAAACTGCACATACATTACATAATTACACAAGTTTAGCAGCTAGACAGAGTTCAAAGAGCAATAAAAAGGAAATTAGGTGTAAAATGTTATGAGCCTAAGGCTATTTAGGATAAATAATTTTAATTTTCTGCAATTATTATAGAAAGAAAGAGTAATTTAGAGTTATTTCTTTTTTTTGGGGGGGGGGGGATAGTTACTAGGTTGGTCAAATAGACTGACCTCCATATAGTGTTTGGGAAGAGAAAATAACAGATAAAGTAACATGTGATATTCATTTAGGATATTCTAGAGATTATGTACATTAAATATGGAAACTGTAAGATGAAAAAAAGTATTTTTATTCTTAATGTGAAAATCACCTTCATTCAGAGTAGTCAGAATCTGAGTCAAACTGATTGAAGTAAATTCAGAGACAAATCTTTAGTAGAACTACTATATTCAAAATTCAGCTTTTTTATGCATAACATGCTTGTAATGTTTACTAAAAGCGTATACCAAATTTTGTAAAGATACATTATGTACATTTGGAATTATAGAATTTACAGTAAATATTATTTCTCTAATATGGGCTTGGTCCAATGGACTGACTTTGTGCATGTTAGGTTAAATGGAATACATATGATATGCATTGTTTTTTTCAATCCCTCAAAAAATACATGTCAATGATGATCATGTTTTTGGCTATGGCTTCAGTGACACCCTTTCATTTCAAGGACATGCATAAAGTAAAGTGATTTGTCTCACTTGGGGAAGATAAAAATATTGACACTATATGCAAATAAGTGTTTGATTATTTAGGTTATCATTCTGTAAGATGTACTCACCACCAAGATCTTTCTTTTTATTTTTTCGGCTTTTCTGTCTTCGTTCCAATTCTTGGTAAGCTGCTGCAGCATGTTGAAGTCGACCAACAAATATTTCAATATCATCAAAACAACAGTTCAACATCATCTGTAACATGGGTAATGCTGAATTAGTTTAAAACATAAATTTTTTCTAAGATTTTTTTCCAAGTTTGATAAAAATTCCACAACAAACCAGTTATAGTTTTTTAGATCCAAACCAAAACATATGTCCAATATTTTACAATACTGCTAGAAATATGAGTAAATATGAGCAAAAAAAATTACCAAACAAAATATCTAAGAGAAAATGAATAAATAAAACATTAAGCTTCAAAATATGTCATCTTTTTCATCTACTCAATAAATATGAATACAAAAAATCAGGGATTATTTATCACATTCACCGACTTAAAATTGAGCCTTATGTTTTTGAACAAACAAACTTTCATGAAACTGTTTTCTTCCTAAAAGTCATGGTAGTTAATGACAGACTTTCTGAAGATTGGTTGCTTATAATTAAAAAGTTACCATTTATCAATTGCTTTTCTTCAAACTCCATCACGTTCAAAATTTTTCGAAACATTTTTTGATCAAAGATATACACACTTTACAAAGTAATGATGAAGTTTAGCTAAAACATAAACTAAACCTCATTAAAAAGATTCTGTTTAAATATTGCACTAGCATAAATCACAAGACAAACTTTAGCTCTTGATTCCAAAAAACATTCAAGTTCTGAATACCATAAAATCTAATCTATATTTGAAGTTTATTCCCTTATATTTTTTAAAGAATAATGTTAATGCACTATTTTATTATTCTGGTAACTTATTATAGGGCTACTTATAAAACAAACTTTTCAATGTCTTTAATGATATTTGACTTTCTAGTCAATCAGTTAATTTTTTTTAATGAAATGTTAATTATTTACAACATTCTTGTTCATACCACTTCCTTTTCATATCGTTCATTCCCCACTGAGGTAGGTTCTTCAGAAATTTCTCGAGGATAATGGGATGGTGATCTCATCTGGTCCTGTCTTTCATTTTTTATCTGAGAGCTACGTGGTACTGCAAGCAACGTAGAAGCAAAATCTAATAGTTATAAATTTACTATATATGAGAGTCTTCATAATAAAGATATACAAAGAACAAATGAAAATCCAAGTGGTTTTGAGAAATTCTCTCTTCAGCCTCAGAAGTAAAGTAGGTGAATGATAGGAATGTTTTGCAAATTTACAGAATTTATAAAACAGTAAATGTTAGTCAAGATATTAGAAAAAAATGCTCAAGTGATGGAAAAGGTAGGTTTTATGATATATGAACAAAGTCAGGAAGTGAGGTTTAAAAATTAATAAGATATAGAAGAAAATAACATGGAAGAAACTAAACAAATAGTGGAAAAAACAAATTGGGAGATTAAAATAAAACATAAAAATAATCATTGTAATAAAATGAAATAAAACAGATAAGCTAAACACAGTGTCAGTAACAGAAATTAATAATTACATGACAGAAATTTCAAAAAATTAATTAAAAACTTAGAAAACAACAGAAGGGCATAAATAGCTAAAAATTATTCAAATTTTACGGACTATGAAATCATGAGATTATTTACTACGACCATCATGTTGAGTGTCAATAACGTGTCAAATTTTTAAGCTAGCTGTAAAATTTTATGTATCACTAAATATATAATTTAAATATATTGAACATAATAATGGTTAAAGATTTTGACAATGTTACAAATATGTTACTGTTAAGTTTTTTATTTAAAAATTTATGCAATGGTTTTGACAAGTGAATTATTCAACATTTTTCAAAGATGCCTAACTAACAGATTTGGTAACTCATGTAATATTTACAGTTTAATAGTTATTGACAAAGACAGTGTGCAAAATTAGTGGTATACAAGAATATTATGTATTAGCTCTATGTGCACAAGTGAGGGTCAAAATGCATAAGCAATGGCCTTTTACTGAGTGTCATTCAACATGGTATTACTTATTTGGTGTCAAGAATTATCAACTATTAATTTAATCTACAATGCTGATTTAGTGACAGTTTGTGGTAGGGGAGAGTAAATACCTGATACATTATCCAGGAATACTGAAAAGACTAGATATGCAAATCAAGAGATTCTAGAGATTATAAAAATACAATATAGAAACTATACAATCAACTATAGCATCTTTATTATTCACGCGAATATTATCTCACACTCAACTTGTATGAGTCATAACTTGAGTCCAAATACATTTGTAACTCATCTGATTTTTTTATGTACAACAGAATTGTACATTTTACTAAAAGCTTGCCCCTTTTAATGTAGATACACTTAGTAATTAGTAAATTCAGAATTATAGTCAATATTGCTTCTCTAATATGGAGTTGGTGCAGTGGACCAAGTCCATGAACATTAGGTTAAAACCATCCCAGAATCTCTGATATTTTACCAAGTTGATAAAAAAAAGATTAACAAACATTTTTATAATTATTATGAAAACTTCTAACTTTCAACACTACATAGATATTATTTTATTTATCTGTATGGAACCCTCAAATAAACAGATGAAATGAATTACCTTGTGGCACTGAAGCAGCAGCTGCAGCTGCTGCATTAAACAAGTTTACATGATCTCTCACTTTTCCATTTAATGGAGGATCAGGAGGAGGATTAGATGGAGGAGGGGGAATGGGTCTTGGTGTACTTCTGTAACTGAAAAAATTAAAAAACAATAAAAAAAAAACTTATATTTTCTACAAATGACATTTCAGGTTAAGAATGCAAGTTTTATACACCAAGTTAACCTGAACTACACAAACAAAAAGAGTAAAATAAATAAATGTGAACAGAAAACTGTTTTAAAAAACAAAGAAAGTTGTCATGAGTGTATTAAAACTTTAAACATAGAAACAAGAATAGCACTTTCTTAATACTTCATAACTTATATAATTCCTTATGAAGTTTGTTACAAATTATTAAATGTTATAAATAAATATATATATCCTCTTTTAATAGAGTAGATGAATATATTCATTTTTTTCTAGTTTTAATTAATTAATAATACTGGTATAGACAGAAGCACAACAAATATAAAATTCAAACCACAAAGTGATGTTTCAAATAAAAAAACTTATACTTTATTTTTATGTAATTTAAACTATTTCTTGTTAAAGTAGGAAATCAGAAAATAAACTTACCCAGGTTTCCACTTTCCATTCATAAAAAGTCTCATCTCTTCTACCACATCTTGAGCCTGAGCAAGATGAAAATCAAAATATCATTAAACAATGTTAATCATCATGTGTACCGCATTACTGAAGACACCTTCTCAGAAAGCAAATTAAAGCTTGTGTATAAAAAGTTGGTTTTCTTGAATTGTTAAAAGAATATTTACTAAATAAGATGTTTAGCCTGTTTCAACATCCACTCAATTTTGTAATAACAACTTTAGTTCGTCGTAACACAGTACTTGTAAAGATGAAAGATCAAGTTGTAACACTGCTGTGTTATGACTTGATCTTTCATCTTTACAACTGCTGTTGTAAAAATGAAAGATCAAGTTCTAACACAGCAGTTGTAAAAATGAAAGATCAAGTCATAACACAGCAGTTGTAAAGATGAAAGATCAAGTTCTAACACAGCAGTTGTAAAGATGAAAGATCAAGTTCTAACACAGCAGTTGTAAAGATGAAAGATCAAGTCATAACACAGCAGCTGTAAAAATTAAAGATCAAGGAAGCCTTTTACCCAATACTGCTACAATTCCAAAAACAGTTTAAAACTGATTTATATATACATGAACCATCTTTCAAATCCATATGCTGGTAGAGGTTAATTTGGATAATTTGCTTTTTCAATTCTCTTGCTTCTAAAGTTCACACCAATTTCCATGATTATGCACAGAAAGAATCATAACAATTTTATTATCTCACTGTAATAATGTGTTCTTGTAATAATGACTCTTATACTATTGATAGAGGATGTGTTTATGTGGTATATAGGAATACCTTTTATCTTCTATCTCCTTATTTTAATGTAGAATTTTTCAAAATTTTCGTTTATTGTAGGTATGTGTAGTTTTCTCATAGCATGTGATGAAGAAAGTTGTTAAGTTGATTTTATTTTAGCTGCCTTCATTCCTTCATCATTCTATTGAGGTCTCACCTGTTCTGCCTATGGCAGATATGATTGTAATGCTGCCAATAGAGAGCTGTGTCCTTCAACAGCAGATCAAATGGTATCTAAAGGTTTGAATGAAAATGACCAGACATGTGGGTAATGTTAGTTCCTCCAGATAACTCTAACATTACAGATTCAACTACATAACATGAGGTTTAGAAAATCTAGAAAACCATTTTGAAATAAGTCTTGAGGGATTAGGACTAGACTGGTCAATTCACAACATAATTAAAGGATCAAACAGCCCATTGTCTAACAAAAGTACACACACACACACTATGTTTGCAATATTATAAAGATTGTTTTCATTGTGCATCACAATTTGTGTCCAGTTCATATAATTCTTAGCACAGACTCAGTTAGTTTTATAAGAACCCAGAATTACTTCATAATTTAACTTACCAAACCTCCAGTTATATAGCATATATATAATTGACCTAAGTAATTTATTGTTTTCAGAAATCAATTGCCCTGAAAATATCACATTTAATAGTTCAATTTTACAACATAGTTATCTTTAGATGGATTATTTCCTTACTTCTGATCCTGAAAAAATGCATCAGACTGTTAGTAAATCTAAATGTACTGTTTATGCATAAGTGATAACATACAACACATTCATTACCATTTTGAAGAAACTTTGTATGCAACACCAAAGAAAGCTACATGTATACAGATCAGAAATAGAAAAATCATCTGCACAAATATAACTATGTTAAACAAACAACTAGATACATCTTATGATCATTAGTGTTGAAGTAATTATAAAACATTATATTACAGATGATGAAGCTTGTAGAAAACAATGATTCATAGGTTACTAATATTTGGATAAATTTTAATGTAGAAAGCTCTTTCCAAATGATCATCTTAAAAAAATTACTAACACCTAAAGATAGACTTACATTCCTTTTAACAAGGATAAACTTAGTTTTATGCCTATAGCATGTTTAATTTTTGCAAAATACAAAATTCCAAATGAATAAATGAATATATAAGATGATATAATATATGATTATGTTTATGCTCAAAACAGATGTGTTTTGTTATTGTATTATTATTTCCACAGTTAAAAGTAAGCCTTAAAATTACAATTAATTTTTTTTATATTAATCTTTTGTCAAAAATTAATACCTCACAATTTTTGGCAAAATCCTCCTATTTTTCTTCATTCAAAAATCATAAAATATGATAGTAAAAACACCTAGCCAAAGGTTCTCATTCCTGAAAAAACTTCTTCACTACAAATGATAAACTTACCGATACCCGAACACACTGAAAGATGTGCATCTCTCCAGAGTTTTTTAACTTGTTTCTGGAATCTTCTCGAACAATGAAAATGAGGACATTATTGTAAATTTCTCTCGAATCATTGCTAATGAAACTTGTTGGATCACTGATCAAGTTCATTGGAAACTTCTCCACCACATCCTAATTAGAGCAAAAATATAAATAATCATTACTAGCTTATCAATACTTCACCATATTGTTTATACTTCAAATAATTTTTAAATTAAAAACACAGCTACAATTTCTTCTACTTATCTGAGAAGTAGTGCTAATCCATTATAAAAAAAAAAAGCCTTTATATTCTACTCAGAAGTACACACTTAACTCCTTCATTGTCACATATATAGATAAATAACAACCCCTAACCATGATATATTTAGATAAATACAGAAACACGTGTGGTGTTGCATATGTATCTTATTCATTAGTTGTCACATCAACAAGAAATATTTTAGTGATAATTGCCTGAAATATTTCACAGATTATTACTCTCTCATAAGGTAAGAAATGTATAGTAATTATTTGAGCATTTATTTAAAAATTTTTTGAATTAATATGATTTTTTAAAAGAATTATCGAGTTACTAATTTCACTGCATGCCTATTTCTCAGAATATTTACTTAATATCATACTTTTTAAGGTTTCAACAAGAACAAGAAGAAATCACACTTGAAAGCAAACTGTCAAATAAGGTTGGAATCTAAACATTTAAAAAAAATTATTTTTTTTAATAGTGCTTAATATATAATCTTACACCATTCTCATAATCTTTAATAACCACCCATCTTCGATCCAATTTCAACTGCATCTTCTGAGTCCAGATTCCAGTAGATTTTTCCATCTGAAGTAGCCTTCGGAGTCCATCTTTAGGTGATTCTAAGCCTGTAAAAAGACAGAAAACAAGCACACAGTTGAACAGTTAATTAAGACATTCATTTGAATTCCTTTGGGATTGACAGATGACTCATATCCTTTATAAAAACATGATGACTTAAAAATTCCATAATTCAACAGAACATTTCTTGAAGTGTCGCTGCTTCTATGTGTAAAACAGGTTATTTACTTCTTGATAACAATAGTTTAATAATTCAAAGCCTCAGTATGCTAAATAATCTGTTAATGCAAAAGCACACAATCTTTAGTCTTAGGTTTTACTTTAATTTTTAGAGTATATGGTATATGAATGCTAAATCGCTAAACTTAAACAGCATTATTCATCTTCTTGTGCAAATCCTGGCCTAGCCAATTAAACCATACAATAGCACCATCTACTGGCTAAACCTGTAGCATATAATTATAACATTCTATAGAACATTACAACATCTTCTAAAACCTGTAATAAAAAAACAACTAACCAAATAGTATTGACTATTATTATGCAAAAATAGGTGAAAAATAACCATAACTGTTGCTACACTATATAATAGAAATAAAATATTATTTTTTTTCTTTCCTAGACATGTGATTTAAAGAAACACTTCTTTTTGTGTAGTAAGATAGGCTTTAACATCATAACAATTACTGTTTTACAAGAACTGCTATGCTATACATGTAAAAGTGGAACCACTTGGAATTGCTATGTCATACTTGTGAAAGAGAATCAGTTGAGACTACTGTTATACTATAGGTGCATAAAGAGAATCAGTTGAAACTACTGTTATACTGAGGTGTGCAAAAAAGAATCAGTTGAGACTACTGTTGTACTAAGGTGTAAGAAAAATCAGTTGAGGCCTACTCTTATACCACATGTCTGTAGGGAGAATTAGTTTAAGGTGCTGTTAAACACATCTTCATTCCTATCACATAAGACTTACCAAATTCTGAACCCACTGAAAAAGTTGCCAAATGTTCCAACAAGTAAAGTGGACCATCTTCAACTTGATCACTCTGCTGGTCTGAAACACAATAATCTAAAGTTTATTATTTTGTTAGCACCACCATTCCTTTTTGACCTATGCCTGTACTATGTTTTCATCTTACACTCTTCAACCTTTTATACACTTTCCTTCTTACAGTCAACCAGATTTTTAAAACATATTTGTACACCATACTTCTCAGACATGTAAAACAAACAACATATCTGTAGACGGTTAATCATCAGATTTCTCCAAGATATACATTTGGCCCATCAAAAATATCCTACTTCCAGTGTACCTCCCTCAACAATCAGAAGCCTGTCCACTAAGTCCAGCTCTGATTCTTCAAATAATCATCTACCCTTTCTTTAAAATCTTAACCTCTGCCACCCTTGAGATATTTACCTCTCTACTGAAGAAATAAAACTGCCTCAGTTGGAGTTGTGTCTGACTTTTTCAAATCTTAAATTTATGAACTCTTTTTCATACTACTCTTGGAATTCAACACCAAAAAGTCTGATGCATCAATCTTAGCAATTCCCTTAATTACTTTTGGATAATTCAATTAGATCATCCCAGACCCTCCCTTTTTTTTAAAGAAACAGAACAGGTTAAGAAATCTGAACCTATCTATTCTAGGAATAATCCAAACAGCCCTTCCCTGAATCTTCTCCAACAACTCAGTGTCCTTCTTTAGCCAAAAAGTAGGGTACCTTATGAACTGTCAATCATAGTTTAATGACAAGGCAACATAGTAATTATAATACACGTAACTTTATCTTTATTTGAAAGCAATGCTTCTACTGTAAATCTTAGTAAGGACAAACAAAACCTGTTACATCAAAATAAGCATAAAAAAAAGACTATCAACACTTTTGTATCACATCATTGATATATCACACGATAGCTCTTATTTTGGGTTTTTTAAGCTCCTCATCCATGAGATGAATTTATTGAGAATTTAAAACATAGCTTGAAAAAATCAGGATACTTAGACAGTCTGCTCAACTACCATGTTCTGTTATTTATAACAATCAGATGTTTTAAACAGATTGTTCAACTACTACATAACACATGTTGAGCAGGTGCTTTAAAAGCTTCGAAAAAGACTGCATGTTATTTAAACTTCCCAAAGTCTGGTTTTAGGTCTGAAGAAAGGCAGTAGTTCAAAACATCAATTAATAAAAACAGATTTTAAAGGCAATATTTAATTTTTTTCCATTCAATCATTATGTTATAACCTACTAACTATGTTCACTTAGCAAAAGTATCAAATAAAGGCATATCCAAAGTTATTTCCTCAGAAATCATCCTCTGTATTATGTTGAAACTTTCCTTCTGAAGAATAAAGATTTACAGTCGGTAAGTTTAAGAAGAGCTGCCTTTAGGTATACTTTTCCATATACATCATATTGTCATTGATACTGATATTTGTTACACCTACATACATAAATAAATGTTATAATAAATATTTTGGAGAAATTGCATAAATAAATATATGATAAGAGTGGTCTAAATATATAGTATTCTCTGATAATAAACTATTATAATCAGCAGATTAATTTGAAAACTTTCTACAGAGCAGAATACATGCAAAAATAAAACAACCCTTACATGTAAACTTTCTATATCTTAAAAAACCAAACAGATAAATATTCTACAGTTCATTACATTGTATTAATGAAATATAAACAAAAATATATTTTGACTGGTAGTAATATTAAAATTTAGATATTTATGTTAAAAAGCACTCAAAAAACATGAAGTAGCAAAACATAAATAAAACATAATTGAAGAAATCTGTTAACTGGAGTGCCTTTTGAAGATAGATCCTCCTAAGTCACCCTGTAGAATGAAAGTCTCCTTTCTCAAGCAACTATTATTATTGGAGTTCTTGAAATGATAATTACCTTATTTACTTTTAACAGTAATTGTGTTCTAATCAAGCATTTCAATTAAGTTATCCAAATTATGAAATAATTAAGTAACTGATGCTTGCATAAAATTAATTTTATTCATAAAATTTACCTTTAAACAGTTATTATGAATAAAAGTACAGATATTACCTAGAGCTTTTTTAATCAACATGAACATGTACAAAAGGTGTCTGCTGCCAAACAGGATACAAAACATTATAAGAAAGTTTATTTTACAGTCAAACAGTAAGCACATGTAGCCTGTACTGCTCTATAATTCATGTTGTTATTTTTCTTTTCCCCTACCCTGTTGTTCCAGTTTTACAAAACTGCCAAAGCATAACATAATGAGTACATACTAGTACCTCTGATGATGGCTGCCTGGGGCAACTAAAACTAGTCGGGTTATTATTTTTTACCTGTTTTATTTCAGTAGTTTTATTTCTGCATTTTAAACTTGTCTTGCATTTCCATTGAATCTGTACGCCATTATTTTTACCACGATACATTTAGTTATGTTTTAATTATTTAAATAAATTTACTAAAACAGTATTTTATGTTTTATAATTGTAAAATAAAGTTTTTTCTTACTTTTAAAATTAATGCGTGCATTCATAAAATAACTAAGAACTAAATCTAATTAGGTTCTAATTAAGTAATGTATATTTGGACAGCTTTCAAATGGTATATGAACTTTAATTCATTATACATGAAAATATAATGAAATATAAATTTCTAAAAAAAACACAATTTTCAATAATGTGAACGGGTAAACATTCACACCTAATAGATAAAAATTAGTATTTAACTGTACAGACTGAAGAAATACTAGCATATGTAATTTCTCATTATTGTGTAACCTCAGAGAAAACATTATAAATCTAATGAAGACCACAGAAATACTAGCTGATTACTCCAAAAAAAGATGCTGCTGAGATAAGTAAAGTAGAAACAACTTGCTCTCTGTTAATAAGAAATAAACCTAAAGTAAACCTAACACTGTATAGTGATATATTGCAAAAAAGCAGCTTTAACATGTATATATTTCAATTTATACATAAAAATATAATACACACTTCACATATGTGCTCTACATTTAGGAGAATAAAATCCTTGGAAGAAAACTGAAGAATTAAAATACTGATAAGACCTGTACAAATACTATAAGACCTGTATAAATACTATAAGACCTTGTAAAACTGTGCATAAAGTTATAGTTAACATAAACCTACACATGCATATATACCTACATACACTGACATACACGTGCAGACGTATGAAAAGAAATGTTAAATTTAAGTCATTGAAAAAGGGAAGAATAAAAATCTTCATTTTTTGTAACAATATTTAAGTGAAGATCAGAGTTTAGAAAACTTGATTCATGACCATTAAGTCACTCTTCAAATACTGATGTCACAACACACTAAACAAAATGAGCTCCAATAGTATTGAATACCTACTGTAAATTTGCTTCTGCTAGATACGAAAGTTTCCAAAAATCATTTTTCGATATAACAAGACAGGCCAGTAAGATAGAATTAAAGTTTCTATTACAAAATAAACATGATTCTAAGAACCACATCTCTTCACGACATCATACAAAATCCAAAATACAACAAAACAGAGGTGAAAGAGAAAAATTATTTCTCCCTTAAAGAAGTACACTGTTGCATTGCTCGGAAATGCAGATAGAAGAATACAAACAGTTGGGAATAATCTCTTTTATAATTCCTAAAACAGTCTGAAGTGGAACCCAAACCAAAGCCAGAAGTAATTTTTGAAATATCTGTCACTAAAAAGTTTTCTAATAATATTTATAGTATCATTTTTTTTAGGTAATTACTTCTTATATGCTACTTATTTTAATCTTCATTTTTATTTTTAGGTATCAAATTTCATACATAAACAGATAAAATGTTGAAGACAAGTAGGTTAAGACCCAAAAGACAAAGAAACAAAAATATTTTGGCAGTTAATAAAAGAACATATGAACCTTCCATGTCATTTACTTATATTAATTAGCCTCAAATACTTAAAACTGCTACATGACTGAGTAGCATTTATATACAAACGTTCATGTACTATGCAAATTTATTTGCAGGTAACAACTCATACCATGTCTAACTGAAGTTTGATTATGGGCTGGAAATTATAATGTGGTGATCCAATTTTTGTATCACCCATGAATTGGATCAAACCTGGGACTTTCCACATCTGAGTCATGTTAACCCCTTGTAAATTAAAGCACTTTTTAACAATTAAACTACCATAATGGTACTTTTAAACACTCCTGATAATGTAAAATGGCTAAAAATGCTAGAATGTTTTATATGAGCACTTGGGACTTAAAAGTAATTTATGTTACAGTAACTTTTACCTGAACCATAACCATTAGCAAATGAAGATCTTGATGCTCTCATGTCTGAATCTTGACGATGTGGTGACATTTCTCGTCTGTCAGGATATGAGCCAAACCTATCAAATAATAGAAATGAAAGAAATCAAAACAGTTAAATATTTGAATTTGATAAAACATTATCTTTATAACAACTATTGCCTATATTAACATGTAAAAATTCTCACTTAATGTTACAATACTTGAAGAAACACAAATCTAAAACCAGTTCAATTACATTCTAACAAAAAGCTATTAAAAATGACACCTCAAACATTTTTTGCAACTCCTAGTAATCTACGGAAAAAGTTGTAAAAGAAGTTTACTAGATGATAAAGTATGTTTTGATGAGGAAAGAGTAATGACACACCATCATATATGTTTATGTTTTGAAGAAATTTAATAAACCTTCCAGTTTCTGCACTTTGTCAAAATTAGCAACAAAAACTTTCATTAGTGGTGAGAAAGAATTTGCTGTCAACTGACTATTTACAAAGTAAGTGTTATAAAAAGGTCTAACTGGAAAATGATTTTCTATATTACGAAATTAACTTTGGAAACATTGCCTAACATATTTGGTTTATATCTCATTTGCATATGCATATCAATTATATCTATAAGAAATAATTTTCTACTTTATACCTATTTCAGTTTAGCTTTGGACAAGGTTTAAGTTACTGAATGGTGGTCTTCAATAACCTACTAGACTGAAGAGGATTGGGGTTTATATATTTAACACAAATTTTTCCTACTGTTTTCCATTAAGGTACTGTGGAATCAAACTCAACTTGCTGAATGGTAAGTAGATACTGTACTAATTAAACTTAACAATTACCTTTCATTTTCATATCTAATTCTTGAAAAATAATTTATTAAGCCACCAATAAATTGGTGCTCTGAATATATATAGCAGTTTCTACAAATTTTGTTACAGATAAAGTTCATGAACTGAAAACAAGATATTGTTACGTCTCCGTTTGTTAATTGATTTTTCCGTAACTTCGTTCCAACGAAACTTAAACGACACAAGTCTTTACTTAATAAAACTGGTTTATTCTTTCCGAATATAACTCTGCGATACACTTAATCTCAATACTCGCGCTAAAACAACACTGTAACGTACGAACGTTAACTTCAACAATACCCTGTGACTGCAGTTCAATTACTCACTGTCCACCTACCCTATATCTAGTAAGAACTTGAACATTCGCCAAAGTACATGATAGTTCTAGAAACGTTGCGTCATAGTAGTCATGTGACTCGCTGACGCAACAATATGGTGACATAAAACTGTAATTGAAAGTACTAATCATCCTCTTTTAAATATACAAATAATACTGCTTTTTATTCACCTTTTTATACATATTACAATGGCTTACATTTCAAGATAATTTCTAAACTTATTTTACCTTAAATATTTCATTATACATGTACATTATTTTGTACATATACACAGCATAATACACTGACAATTGCTTGCATGGTTTTGAAGGATAGCTTGGTGTTTTCTATCAAATGCAGAGTAAAAAAATAAGTAATATTTGTACTAGATACTTTTCTTAGCTCCATTCATAAGTAAAAGAGCTTTGAATATGAAATTTCTTGAAAAATATCAAGTTGAAAAATGTTAACTTAATTTAAAAAATAATTTCAGTTTTACATTTTCACAAAATAAAAAATTCATTGAAACTTTAATTAGACACTAACATATTAATTATTCTTAACCTTGTATCATATTCATTTGTCACATGGTTGCCACTAAAAATGTAAGAAATCCTTTTATAAAACCCACACCTTATATTGTAAGCACATAGCCTTTACATAAATGAATGGAGACTAATAATATTATTAGTTACTTATACCATCACATCTCAGAGCTAGATACGTATAGAATAAAATATCAAACAGACTGCTTGAAACTATTTTTAACCTCAAATATTAAATTAAATTATTTTATTTAAACACTGTACTCATACCTATTTATGCCTACAGAAACTTACAAAAATAAAAAATGTTTATATTTTGAAGCATAAATGGAACAATTTACAACTCATATAGACTGAACCCTTTGTTCCCATAGATTTATATCAGCTATTTGTATCTGTTCAGTAAAACATTAACTTTTTTTTTCAGTAAGTATCAGAGTCCTCTGTCAAACCCAAAAAAAAAAGTAATGAAAGCCTACTTCATAAATATTTGGTGTCAGATGAAAGAAAGATAGAAAAACATTACAAATGTGTAGAAAATACATGAGAGAAAAGCATAAATACATTACAAAACTTTACAAATGTGTTAAAACAGCATGAAAGAAAAATACAAAAACATTACAGATGTGTTGAAAAATCATGAGAGAAAAATAAAAACACAACCAAAACACTAGGGATGTTTTAAAAAGCACACAAGAAAAACAGAAAAATACTACCAAAATTTGCAGGTGTGTAGAAAAAGCAGACGAGAAAAACATTACCAAAACTTTACAATTGTGTTGAAAGAGCATGAGAAAAAAATTGATCAAACTGTGCAAGAATGGATGGTAAGTTTAATAAGCATGTACAGGGTTCAAAAAACAAATAAAGCCAAGAATGCTACATTACAAAATTATGTAAGGTTGTCATAAGAGTATCTGTTACACTGCCATAAATACCCTCAAAGATAAAGTGCACCATTTGTATGATCATCTACAAACCCTAATAAGCATTTTTGTCAGTGTTTGGGAATTTCAGTCAATGATTATTCAGAAACCACACATACAGAAACAGACTCCAATAAGCTATCTCCTTTACTTCAACTGTATCTTATAGAACTGTTTACACTCCATGGAAACATTATACCACATCCAACAATACTTCACTCTCCTCTGGATCCATAGAATTCACAAGACTACTTCTCACATTCCTGTCCAATAAAATAACCCAACAGATTTTGTAGGGAAAATGCCATAAGAAGTGTTTAACATTCACTTTGAAATTACTTGTCAGGTTATTTCATTTAGTGATCAACAGCAAAACTTTCCATATTTTGGCACATCTAAAAAGTTCACTATAAGGAAGCCACAATAACTAGGAGTCGTTAGCGGTTGCTCATTCCATTCATCTTTGGATATAGAATGGCTTGCACATTTACCTTACTCATGTACATTTTCAGCCTATTAATGTTTTTTAAGTTGAAGACATGGGCATCCAACTGAAACAGAGTAGGGACATATATTTGAGAACTTCCATTCAATTTTATACAAAGCTTCCAACAAGATTGTTAATAAATAGCACTAAAACACTTAACCAAATCACAATTCTATTAGAGCATTAAATGTCAAATCCATCTTAAGATTTAGATAAATGTTAATAAGATATAAATACTAATTCAGCTGATGCTCCATAAAGAATTATAAGATAGGTAATCCAAAGCTGCAAGTTTCAAGTGTGGAAACTAAGAGCATTATACTAGGGCTAGAAAAAACAACAGTATACCAAAAGACATAAGCCATGTCAAAGACAACCTAGTGGAAGCTGTCATCTCGATGCCTATAAGCCATAATTAAAACCAAAGAAACTGTAACTAAGGACCACAATGGAGGAGTTCAGTGCATTACTTAGAAGTAAACATGAAAATTATATTGTATTATTAACCATTCTCTGACTAAGAAGGGAACCTAATAGCCCCAACTATGTTTTTTTGCCTATGTCATTGCAAAATCTTACATTGTGTCACTGACTTTTTCAGTCATATGCATTAATAAATAAGTACTACAATTAAGAACAACAAATTATTTTTGTTTGCACATTAAATATTTTTATTTGGGACTGATATACAGTAGCATTATACTCTAATGCATCGAAACATGTATAATGGTGACTGTTGATCAATACTAAATAAAAATGTCTATTGTGTAAACAAAACTAAGTTGCTGTTTTTAGCTATAATATTTCTTTATTTATGGTTTTACACAAGTATCCAAGAAGAAATTTTAATGTGCAATAATGTCTCTCCTTTGCCATGAATGCCTGGATGCACTGAATGGCTTCTAGCAAGTTTGTTTTAAATGATGACAGCAGACTTGACATTGCTTTCAGCACTCAAGAAGACTTGTATTAAATACATGTATATATTGCCTGTATAATGCACTTGCCACTTTTGTGAAGCTGATAGAATTTATGCTGAAATGACTACAATGAGAGATGTCTAACCTACGTGGGTGACATTTTGGTGTTTGGATGCACCTTTTCAGACTGATATTTCAGTAAATGCAAAAGGCACACTTGAAACTGGAGCAAGTAAAGTATGTACTTATGCATACACTAGTGAAAATGTAGCAACGAACAGTGTCCACCACACCTGCAAAGATCACAAGAGTTATGAACTGTATCCAACCAAACAAAAAGTCATAGCCATCATGTAGACTGGAGAAAATGACCAAGCATTTTATTTTTCAAGTGTGCTGTAGCTGAGGCTCTGGTGTTAACTTGCTCTCAGTTAAACTGTCCATTCATCCTTAATACTGATAACAGTGAAAACTGAATCACTGCAATGTGGTTGAGAAAAAATAATATGAAGAATGTTGTAGTGTTGATGATTGTTGTAAATTTATAGATGGTTCCTGAACACAAGTACTGTATAATGAAGAAATTTTTTACAGTTGTATTATTTGCCATATGCTACCATATGTTAGGAATTCGATTATTTGTGTGGATCAAACATCACTGTATTTGATCATGAACTTCAAAAATATAATAGTATGACTGTTCACTGGTTTACAATGTTGCAAGAGTAGAGTAGTACAGATGGATTATCTCTCTTCTGAATGTCAAGAACCTGGACACTGAACAGTTGTAAGTCATCATAACAGCAATGACAACAAAATGTACATGAGTCACAACTTTACTGATTCATTATGACTCCAAGAAGTACAACTGAAGAAAACAGATCTACACTTAATGCTACTTGCCATACAACAAAGTGAGTGATTACAAGTGCAAGGTGGTGCACTATGTTGATACTACGATTCATATAGGGTGGTGTATATTCTGTGATGCAGCTATTGGTCTCAAGGGTTCTACTTAAAAGATACTTCAAACTTTGAATG